TCAGTTTCGGTTTTGACAAATATTTGTTTCCAAAGTCAATATTTTCTTTCAAGGACCATGCACTTTACATCTGAAATTGAAACGACGAAAATCAATTTGCAATATTGCTGAGTGATTACATTCTGAAAACAAGAAGACGGGAAACTGAAGAAAATTATGCAGCAAATAGAACAAGACATTCATTTGGTAAAGGATCACTCAATTTTAATGATTTATTCTGAAATTCTCGTGTAAACATTTGTTCCTATGGTATGGTTTATTTATTTTTCCCGGTTATTTTTCAAATTCCAGGATATTTTCGGTTTGCTGGCCACCCTGTGAAATGAATTCCTAGGTGAATCAGAGGAAAATTTTAAGTAGATTAAATTCTGAGCAGGAATTTCAAGAGATTTTTAATTTACTGAGGAAACTTCAGACAAGAAATTCAAGGGAATTCCGAAAAACAAATATCAAAGGATTTCTTAGGATTATTCTAAAAACAAATTGAAGGAGAATTTAAAAAGCTAATCTTAAGGAAAGCTTTAAGGAAATTCCATTGCCCGAATGTGAAAAGAACAAGCAGCATTCAATCGAAGGCAGAGTCTCATTCGGGGTTCAGAATCGCACTGCTTTTGAAATGTTGTCCCTGAATTCGAATGTTTAAAAGCTCAAGCGTTTATCAACAGTAACAACATTTGCATTCCATCACCTTGCCATGTAAAGCGGCATGCAAATGATTTTCACTAGTGTTGGCAGTTTTTCATGGAATAGGATCTGTAGATACTAAAATTTGATTCCACTGCCGTAATCATTGCTATATTAATTTTTTGCTTTCCAAAAACCGTCATTCACAAAAAATCCATAGGATTCGAACTGCGCTTAAAAAAATCCTAGAAATTTGGAAAATCCACAACTGTACGGATAAATTCGTAGACCTGGCATTACTGATCACCAGTGCTGCCAAACACTATTTAAAGCTTAAATAAGTCTTTACCATATGTTAAAAATTGTTATAATCTGTCAGCTTAAAAAACTGTATAACTCACAGGGTGGCCACTGGATTTAAATTATCGGTTAATTGTTATACGATAAAAAAAATACAAATAAAACCCCTAGATATGCGGTCTGCACTGCCCATAATCGCAAGTCGGTCCCATCTGTAAAAAACTGGAAATGAGAAAAAGGCGTTCAAAGAGTTTACAAGTTTTCTGAATTGACACTTATTGTGGAGAGATAAATTTAAAAATAAATGTACAATGTGATGGAATGCATCTATTTTTACCCAAAAATCAGTGGCATCGCCTTAACCTCAATCTACCTGTGCACCAACTCTCAAAACACAAACAATTATCAAAATATTGCCTGCAATGGATAGCTATCGAGTTAACTAGAAGGTTAAGTGTGTTTTTCGACCGATTCGAGTATGAATACGGCATTAAATCTGTTTTTGAAAGTTGGTGCACAGGTAAAAAGTGAGGTTACGCGACGCCACTGCCAAAAATATTGGAAAAACATCGTGAAATTTTTATTTTATGGCCAAAATCTGAGTGGGATCGACTTGCGATTACATTTAAGGTCAATGAGAAAAATAATCGCAAGCCATAGAACGTTATTGAATGTTTCTGGATTTGTTCCGCTGGTCTCAGAGCAATGGCCGGAACATATTCCGGTGAGTATGGGTCTTCATCAGACCAGAGCTTTTCATAGCCGTACCAAACCCACCATGCGATAAATCAGTTCAGATGAGAATTCAAAAATAAGATCAATAAGAGTCATGATGAGTGACCAGCACCATGTTTGGCCACATCCGGACATGTATCGGGTATCCCCGGGGAAGAGGTAAATCCTTTTTAAATGAAAATTCATCAAGCGATACATCAGATCGCATGAGAATTCAAAGCCATATCCATTGGCGGTCAAACTGAGTATCGTAAGAACTATATTGGCCACATCCGAATATGTTCCAGATACCCTAGGGGAAGTGGACAAAATCTGTCTTGAGACAAATCTCATGCTGCAATGTGTTGTCTAACATTTCTAACATATTTTTTACCAATGGGACTGACTTGCGATTACTTTTCGCTGTGGAACAATTTGACTTGGTATTGTTTTTCATGTTTTCATGAACAAACCACCTTTTTTCAATAATAGAAAGATAAACTGAATAATGATGCTAACTCAAAATTTATAAAAATGCAGATGGGACTGACTTGCGATTACCGGCAGTGTAGTTGTGAGATCAAAATACGTAGTTTTTAAGATAATTCATAATTGAATTGCTAAAGTAAATCTTAGAAGAATCATTTACATATTTGGAGAACAATCTCAAGGAGAATTTCAAATGAATGTTGGTTGGATGCTTTGGAAATGCTAAGCCCTAAAAATCCTGATGAAAATGTCATGATTAATTTGTATAAATTTCCAAGATCAACTCCATGTGGATTTTTAAGAATATTTACAGCGTAAATGGAGAAAATTTTAAACGAATTCTCGTGAGAATTATGGAAAATACTAAGGTAAGTGTATAGTAAATGTTTAGAGTTTCCTGGAGGCGATGTAGGGTTTGTTAATCGATAACCGTCGATAATTGTTAATTTGCATTGCAGACGCTAACGATTTCCAAATTTTTGAGAAAATTCTCAGAATGTCCTGTGAAGAATTATCTTTCAGAAATCTATTATCTAGTTAATTCAAACATTGCCAATATTCTAAGGTCCCGGGCACAGACATTCAAGATTCAGGTCACGCTGTGGTACAACTCTTAAAACTCTGAACAGTTTTAAAGGTTTTATACTTATGAAAAAAGATTTGATATCCCGATCTTGGAAAACTCTTCAAAGTGGCAAGTCTGACTCGCTTGACACGAGTCGAATACCATTATAAATATGAGCGGTATCATAACCTCAGGACTTTGAAAATGTTTGAGGCTCCGAAAACACTTGAAGGATTTTCAATTCGTAACTAAGTAAAATTAAGTTGTTAAGTGTTTCCCCTCTGAAAAATACAAATAATTGTGTATACACAATTTGAGCAAAGTAAATAAAAAATACAATCATATTTTAAGATAGCAATCAAATTTCCGGTTCATATCAATTCCCAAATAAGGCGGTTGAGTGGCCCACCATGAATTCGATATTTAAAAAAAATGCATTTCGTTCAACTTCAAATGATGCAGAGTAAGTAAATATTTTTTACCTCAGAGATCAATCAACAAATTGCTAATTAAAAATAACAGTGCATAGCTATATTGAGATTTCGGCTCCGCATAGTGTTTCAAGATGTTTGAGCCTACACACTTAGATTTTTTGACGAGATATTCTCCACCGAGCAGCTCGGCATTTTATTTTGCTGTATCTCAGTGACAAACTTGCCGAGATCCAGCTAACAAACGGGGATTTTGCCGAGATCTCAGCTAACAAACATAAATTTAGCTGAATCTCGGCAAGTTTTTCACATTGTATTGAATGAGCTTATGTTCTCGTTTCTTTAGAAAAACTTTTTAATCACTTCCATTAAAATTAAATTTCTTGAAAAAATCTACCAAATTTGATCCACATTTAATCTTGAACGGTCAAAGTTTAGATTCAATTTTCTTTGAACGGTCAAATGTTTTTTCTCTGGATTTTTAGACTTCAAGCATAAACTTGTGCTGAACACTAAACACCTTCAAGCACTCTGGCCCCATCGCCGGAAGGACCCTTCAAAAATCAATTTCTTCGTTCCGATATCGTAGGTACCTACTTCACACATCAGTATGTTGAAGATAGCGGGAAATTTCCCCCATTAAATTCAACCGAGTTTTGTCTCGTGCAACAAGAGCTTCAAACTCAGCGAAACGGGTACCGAAAAGTAAAAAAAAGAAACAGTTGGTTAATCGCGCTTTAGGGCATGTTTGCGAACAGCAAAAAAAAAACGTACAACCATCGAGATCATTGGGTAAATTTACACAACCACAAGTTGGGTGCGATTTCTCGGGCCAATTGTTGGCTAAAAGCCTGGGGGTAACCGACGTTCTCCCCCCCCCCCCCCGCAATCGAACCGGAGCGGGGTGCCAGGTATCGATTTTTGTAGGTTCCGAGAGCTTCGCTCGTCATCACCGCGGTTTCGGAAAGAGAGCTCCGCTGAATCCGATGATTTCATCGATCCACTCGCCTGGAAGCACCGTAAAACGTAAAGCGACACATTCCCGCGGGATGAAGGTTTCCCTTCTGGGCGATCGTGGTATAAATTGGGAAAGACCCATTTTGAGGCAATTGTCGAGCAATAAAAAGATGGTGTGTGCGGGACACAATGGTCGTAGAGGAAAAAATCCCGCAATGCGGCAAAATCTGTAATCGTGTCCCGCTGGGTCACCGTCGTCGTCGTGGCCCTGGCATTGTATGAGTGTGATCACAAGCGGTACAAGCGGCACGGACACAGTGCAACCGTGTTTCAAGCTTTCCGTCGATTCCTGTAGCTGCGAGAGGATTAGTTCACGTTACGCGAGAGAACGCGAAAAACCCCCACAGGTGACGAAAACAAATGCCAGACTCTGACCGACTGTAAAATATGACGGAACGCGGGACAAATGGTATTCGTCACCGCCATCACGGGATCGGTGGTTCCAAAAAACGTTTAAAGCCATGCAGGGGCTATTTATAAAAACAAAACGCTCATTGCCAGGCATCGATTTTGCCCCAAAGGAACAACAGCGAATTCTTCCAGCTTCTCCCCGGAAAGCTCCGCGGCGCGGCACGGTCCAACGAACGGATCCCTCCTTCATCGATGTGTGCGTTTCATCGAGGACGGAGATTACACATCCATGTCGGCCATCATCATCATCATCATCATCGTCGTCGACGTCTTCGTCTCTATGCACACCACAGCGAGGCAGTGAGAGGAACCAGAAAAGGTCGATTTTCACCGAAAAGATTCCCGTGCTCGCCCCGTCAGCGAAATTCCGGAACCATCCACACCGTGTGCGAACTTTGCCAAATCCGAGAATCCGACCGCCTTCCTCTTGTTCCGTGGATAATGCTTACCATTTTTGTGTTTTAACTAGTTTGTAACCTTTCCGGTAACGAGAGAAAAATGTGTCACCAAGCTTCCGCTGCTTCCGGAACTTGTGCGAATCAAGATCTGCTGCTGCTTTCGCCGCTTCTCAACGGATCACACAGAACCGAAATTCACACCCGCTAGCAAAAATCACTTGCTTTTTGGCGACCCGCGCTGTGCCGTTTGTTCCGAAACGCGATTTTTTTTTTTCAACAATCTTCTTCTATGGGTTCCGCGAGGGGATTCAATCCGTTTTCTTTGCTACGATTTACACACCGAGCCGGAGGAGCCGCACAGATAGACAGAGAGCACACTGATCCGGGACCACCTCACACCACTGATGATTGAAACAACTGTGACTAATGGCTGCTTTTTTTTTCTCAATCAGATAGACTGACACTCTTCAGCGACACGGCAAGGAAGGTTTGACTTTACAAGTCTGTATTCCACGACGGTTCAAATTCAACTGCCTTCTGGCCAGCGATGAGACGAGCCACGAACTTGAGCTTCTCTATCGCCTTCTGCGAACCGTGTCCGTACGCGGTCGAGGTGCTTCGCTGGTGTGCGTTCGGGTGAGCGTGTGTGCGTGCATTCGGTCGGATAACGGACTTTTCTCTCCGCACCCACCAACACACGCAGTTGGCTCGACTCGGCTGGAGCATGGATTTTTGTGCAACGCGTTCGCGGCCATCATCAGCAGCAGTGCGGCGGATGGGAGCTGAGCTGTGAGAGCTTTCCAGAGTATTTTATGCTGGGCTTGGGTGGTTGGTTCATAGTGTCGTGGCCGAAAATTAATGTTGTTAGGTGTGTGGGGTGGGCTGTGGGGAGGTGGTACGAGAGAGCAAGTGAGAGAAGGAAGGAGTGTGCTGGTGAGAAAGCGAGGCCTCTTCACAGTGATGTTGCTACGGCAGTTTATGCTGTTCGATCGCTCTCCGGTTGACGCATAGTGGGCTTGATGAGCGTCTTCGTGGTAATTGGGTCATTGGTGAATAATATGATTTAGCTTATTTACGCGATGGTATGAATAATAATTTTGCGATATGTGCATAACGTTTATGCTGATTGTATACATCAACTTTTATATGATTTGAGAAGTGGAACTACTATGAGTAATTCCATTTCTGCATATTATATTAAATCGTTTTATAATGTAATAGGGGAAATTAGAGCCATTTGGATCTATGATTGGCCCCAAAGACGCGTTCATCTAGATAAAATTGATAAATAGCAGTATTTATCGATTTTATCTAGATGAACACGTCATTGGGACGGTACTAATGAATAGTTTTGGTCGCTATTTAAAATTTAGTCGATTGCTGAATTTGTGTACGGGCCCAATTAGGGGCATTTAGGTCGACATTACATCCATTTCCCCTATTGATTTTATTATATTATTATATTGACTTCTTTAAAAAAAAATGCGTAGATTTTTTTAAATGTTAAAATCGAAGTTCATACTTTGATTGGCAATGAAAGTAAGGAACCAACACTTGGAAAGGGTCTATCAGCTTTTGTAAACAAAACTTGTAATGCACTTTTCACCCGAACCGATGCTCATCTACGCAAACCAACATCACTATCAGGAAGGGGAAAATATTAATGTTGTATTTATGTAATGGAATGAATACACTTTTTTGTATTAAGGTAGGTGAGCCAGTTTTGGAACTGGCTCCAGTTTTAGGCGCACGTGATATTTGTAATTAATCCTGTTGCTAACATTTCGTGGATAGGGCCCTTCTCCCCATCTATTGGGACCTTCTGCCACACGATGGCTTGATTTGGTTTCTGGTTGTATAAAGGCGATACTCTATCACTCCCGCGGGTTTCGCGTAAGGCCGATGGCATAGTAACGCGTTTAGCGAAGCGTGCGCGTGTGCGTGTGCGTCTGAACTGCTTTGATGAGCGTCCATGCAAAATGCTTGGTTAAACGCTTACACCTGTCATAGTAAACGCGTTGCGAGGCGTCAGCAATAGCGTCAAAGCACTCCTTGAAGCGTTTTCACGCGCGTGCACGCAAAAGACTGTTGTAGTGCCATTGAAATTAAATGGTGATCGACTACCCAACAAACAATTGCCTATTGAAGAAACGACTTCTTGACGATTTTATTCCACTTCATGCTTAATAATACTTGTACTATTTTTAATAATAACTTCAGGCTTTGTTCACACAAATTTTGAGAATTTATTCAACCACAACATCGAAATATTTGGTGTTGAAATAAGGTATGTCGAGAAGCTTTTATTCGACTTACAAAAGTAGTAACAGAGCTTATTCGATCAAATTTTTGATTATTCAGCGTTTAACTATACATCATTACTTCCTTAAACAGCGATGGTATAAAGGTGTAAATATAAGCGCTTGATTCTCATGTGAAATAATGTTTAATTAGACACTATCACATTTACTACTAAACGATTATTCAACTACGAAATAATTAATCCGAAAATAAGAATGGGACAGAGCATGGTTGTTCTCGTTAGTGATTGTTGTTGTCATTATTTTTGTCGAAGCACGCACCTACACACACACACACATAGATCCTAGAAAATTTATTACATACATACACAACATTTCGTTAGATGGGATTCGAACCATGACCTTCCGATCACCAGCCGCGTGCCTTGCCATCTGAGCCAAATAAGTAATAAAAGCTTGAATCTGAAAACCTATCAGCACTCCCAGCCGTAACTCTAGCTAATTCAAGGAGATGTGAGACTGAGAATGATTAATTCCTTCACAGTTGTTTAACATGAGACCAACGTTACCTCTCCATATTTCTAATTTCGATGAAAAGGATGTTATTCTTTTCGATAGATCTATGAATTGGATGTCGTGAGTGATACGATCTATGATTACGATTTAAATAAATTAGGCGTAGAAAATAAATAAAAAAAGGGTCGAGGCTGGGATTGAACTCGCGACCTTGTACTTGGAAAGCGGAAACGGTAACCACTATGCTATCAATTTAATTTTGTTGTTAGCCTGAAGCAGTGTTGTGCAATAATGAATGAATACACCGTTTGTAAAGCATTTACAAAGCATGAAATTAAAACATAGACGCATAGTGGTATAAGAGCTACTCTGCTGACTGTATTCACCTTTATACAGCTATATTGTAAAGCAATGCAATAAAATCTAATAATGGAGCTGGAAAACAATTATTAGACGTATAATAAAGCATGTTATTAAATCAATTTAAAACAGTTGAATTAAATCGTCACTGCATGCGCAAATTACACTTATTCAGTATGTTATTAGATCAAACATCTGGTGTTGAATCAGGAAGACAGTCATCGTTTGTATAGATTTTAATAAGTATATTAATCAAATCAGAGCAATCAGTGGAATAAAGGCTGATCTCAGTGAGGTTTTCTGAGCACATAATTTGACAACCCGTTTTATTCAGCATTGTAAACTGTTATAAAGCATTTATTCAATCTATATGCTTATTTGTGACTCTGAATTGTTTGTTGGACAGTGTTCTGGAATAATGAATCTAATATGTCGTTTATGAAGCATTTACAAAGCATTCAATTGAAACATGGACGCATAGTTGTATAAGAGCTATATTGCTGACTGTATTCACCTTTATACAGCAATATTGTAAAGCGATGCAATGAAATCTAATAATGGAGCTAGAAAACATTTATAAGACGTCTAATAAAGCATTTTATTAAAGCAATTGAAAACAGTCGAATTAAAGCGACAATGTATGTGCAAATTACACTTATTCGGTTTGTTATTAGATTAAACTTCTGGTTCTGAATCAGGAAGGCAGTCAACGTTTATAAAGCTTTTAATAAGTAAACTAATCATATCAGAGCAAGTGGCGGAATAAAGGCACATCTATCGATCTCAATGAGCTTTTTTCAGAACATAATTCGACATCCTGTTTTATTCAGCATTGTACACTGTTATACAGCATTTATTCAATGTGTATGCTTATTTGTGACTGTGAATTGTTTGTTGGGAGTTTGGTCGTATTCTATAAAATGAAATTGAATAATTACGTTATAAATAGCATAGGTAAATCAGACGTTTTAAATATAGCCGGCATTTTTATTTTGTTATATGTTACATGTTAAATGTTAAACAAACTGTTAATAAGAAATTTTAAATGTTTAATGTTAAATGTTAAATGTTAAATGTTAAATGTTAGATGTTAAATGTTAAATATTAAATGTTAAATGGTAATCGTTAAATGTTAATTGTTCTATTCCTAATAAAAATAAATTGTGGGATAGTTTACCCATCCGGGTATTTGATTATTAGTGATGTTAAATGCTACATAATAAATTCTAAATTTCAAATGTAAAATTAAAAATGCTTAATGTTAATTGCTAAATGATGAATGCTAAGTCCAGAATGTTACATGTTAAATGTTAAATGTTACATGGTATATTTTAAATGTTAAATGTAACACGTTAAATGTTTATTGTTTAATGTTAAATGTTAATTGCTAAATGTAAAATATAAAATTTTAAATATTATTTGTTCATTGTTAAATGCTTAATTTTGAATGCTAAATGCTAAAGGTTAAATGCTAAATGTAATATGTTAGATGTTAAATGTAAATTGTCAATGTTAAATGTTAAATGCAAAATGTTAATTGTTACATTTTACATGTAACCCTTTAAATGCTTAAAAATGTTAAGTGTTAAATATTAAAAAAGATAATTTTAAATGCAAAATGTTAAATGTTGAATGTGAAATGATGAATGTTAAATGTTAAATGTTAAATGCTAAATGTTAGATGGTAATTGTAAAAATGTTAGATGTTATTTGTTAAATGTTAAATGTGCATGTTAAATGTTAATTGCAGGTGTTAAATGTTTAATTTTAGATATTAAATGCTGAATGTGTATGTCAAATGTTAAATGTAAATTGTTAATTGTTACATGTTACATGTTCATTTGTCATCTTGTTAGTACCAATTTTTAGCACTCAATTTTGAGAAGCCCTAGTTTTGACGGAATTTGAGTAGATCGAAACTAGGTCTACTCAAAATTGAGTGCTAAAAGTTGGTACCGTAAAACGGGGTAATTTTATATTTTTAAACGGAAATTAAAGCATTTGCACTATTTGTTTTTAGTTTTGTGACCGAACTTCAGTTTTTTGATTGCGGGTTACTTTGATAATGCTCGATGAATGTAGAGAAGAAAATGGGTGAAACACAAACAATTTATTTCTTTAAATATGAAACTTTGAATGAGTATATAATCAGAAAACATCATAAGCAATAAGAATACAACATTGAATTTGTGATGGCTATATCGGAAATACATTTCATAAGTACTTTTCAGTACTTTTTCAAACAGACTAAAACATGAAAATTGTTTTTTAATATGTTTATAACATATGTAGTACATACTATATAAAAACTATATACGGTATCAACGGAAAAACCCTAAGCTATAATATGGAACCATTGTTTCAAATTTGGAAAAAGGGCAGCGAGT